TCATCCTGGTCTACATTAAAAACAAAACAAAACAAAAGCGATATCTTGAAAAACCAATGATCATAGTCCTGAGAGCTGGTTTGTGTTTTGAAATTATAAGTCAAAGAATAAATCAGATTTTAAAAGAAGAACTGCTGGGCGTGGTGATGCATACGTTTAATTTTAGCACTCAGGAGGTAGAAACAGGTGGATATCTAAGTTCAAGGCCAGCCTAGGCTACTTAGCAAGTTCCAAGCTATCCAGGGCAACATAAGGAGGTCCTGTCTCAGACAACAAAACTTAAAGAAGAAACTATAGGATTTGTTCAAACTAGTTTTGAGATTTAACAGGGAAGGAAGAATAAGTCACTTATGATTCTATGATTTGTAATATGGGAAGCAAAAAAGGACAGAATCCATGACAAAATGATGGGGAAGCAAAGTTGAGTGGGGAAAGGCCTGCCTTCAGTCCTGAATGTGTGACTCCTGAGGTTAAAGTATGGTTGTCCTTATGGCATCATTTTCTCTCTGGCAAAGAAACTGTGAAAAAGAACACAAGATTAGAAAGCAGGAAACCTAGTCTTCAAGCCAATCACTAATTAGCTTTGTGGCCCTGGGAAAATCGACATCTCCGGTATTCAGTGGAATTATCTAGCAAGTGGAGCTAATGCACATCTGCCTTGGCAGCCTTCCAGGGTTGTTTTGCAGATGAAGTGAGAATGCACACTGGGGGCTAGAGAGATGGCTGAGAAGTTAAGAGCACTGACTGCTCTTGTGGAGGCTCCAAGTTTGGTTCCCAGCACCCATCTTGAACAGCTTACAGCCAGCCCCCTTGTAATTTTAGTTTCAGGGGATCTAGAAGCCTCTATGGGCACTTGAATCACATGTGTGCACACAAGATGCACATGTGTGTGTATGCACACACACAATTTAAAAACATAGTACTAGGAATACTTATAGTATTATACTATAATATCTTATACTAAGAGTGCTTATAGTACTAGGAATGTAGCTCAGTAGTAGAGCAAATGTTAGGGTACGCAGGCCTCAGGGTACACAGGCCTCGAGTGTGATCCCTAGCACTCTCAGTACTCATAAAAAAATACTCTTGTCATTGTAACTCCCCATGCAATTATAAGATGGTCATGTCACTTTTCAGTTCAAACTAAAACAAAATATTTGTAGTTAGGGATAGAGCAGGGAAAATAAGAAAAATGTCAAAATTCTTAATAGCTTTTGTTTGGTATTAGTGCAAAGCATAGAAACTTGAGTCTTAACAAATGTATCTGAAAACTGTAGACTGATTTGGGAGACTCATTTGGAAGCTTATGTCATCTATGACAGTGATCACAACTAAAAATACAGGTTGCATCTTGTTGGATGTGAATATTTAACATACCTTTAAGTTGAAGTATCAATGGAAAGTTTTTATTGCCATCTGTGCAGTGCTCTGTGTGTGGTAACAGTCAGAAGTCGTCCTTTCTAGATTGCTCTTCTGTTACTGTGATAGAAACTGTGACCAAAAGCAACGTGGTTCTGGAGAGGAGGGTTTGTTTCATCTTATACTTTCAGGTCATCCGTCTTTGATGGAAGTTAGGCGGGAGCCATGAGGAATGCTATTAACTAATATACTCCTCAGTTAGCTTTCTTAAGCAGCACAGGGCCTGCTGCCTAGTAATGGTACTTCGCAGAGTGGGCTGGGCCTTCCTGTATCAGTTAGCCATCAGGAAAATGCCCACAGACATGCCCATAGGCTAGTCTGATGAAGGCAGTCCCCCCAATGAGACTCTCAGCTAACTCTGGGCTATTTCCAAGTTGACAGCTGCAGCCAACTAGGAGAATCTTATGTCTGTTGCTGTGAACTATATGTTTTTGTTTTGTTTTTAATCAAGGATCAGATTGCAGAAATGTCTCTATGCTTGTTCTGTATCCTAAGACATTGCTCCTAATACTTAGCGCTGTCAATGAATGGAATGTGCTAGCTGGGGGCACAGATCTGGAGCCAGCTGAGTTGACACTTAATAGTCAGTTGATGGAGTTGTGTTTGTTTGTCTCAATTCTCTCTGCCCCTACTTCTCCATATGTCATAAGAGATAAAATCTGGGGAAAGGTTCCTGGGAGGCTTTCATGTTGAACTTTATATAAAGCACTGTTTAAACAATAGTAGTAGTCATTAGAAGAGTTGCTATTTTGACAGTTGTCGGGAATAAAGCACATGAACAAAAAGAATGAATTCTCTAGAAACTGATAGCTTGAAGGAGGAAATAGTATAGTGCTAAAGACTATAGGCTTTAGAGGCACATGAACCTGTCTGTATTCAATCCACTGCTACCCTTTGCTTTGTGGTTTAGGCAGGCCACTTAACCCCTTACTCAGACCTTCACATTCTTATACGGGAATCACAATACCTAACTACCCAGCGGATTGTTACGAAGGGTAAATGAGATAACATATGAAATACCTGGCCCAAAGGAGATAGAAAAAGAGAATGTTGCTTGCTCTCCATCTGTTGCCTCAGTAGAGAGCAATTCTGCCCATTGGATTTAGTAGTCCTATGCATTTCTTTGTTTTTTGTTCTTTTTATGTTTTGATGGTCTCCGTAAATAGCCCTGGCTGTCCTGGAACTTACTGTGTAGACTAGGCTGTCTTTGAACCTAAAAGATATGCCTGCCTCTGCTTCTCCAAGTGCTGGGATTAAAGGTGTGTGCCACCACACCTGGCCATCATTTGCCTTTTTATTTTTGTTTGCAATTTTAAAAAGTCTCCAAGTTATTTGTTTGCTTGCAGTACAACAAACAGCAGCTGTATGAGTGATGGATATAGTTCACAAGGTATATCGTTAGGGTTTTTTTCCTTTCTGATTTGCTATTTTGAGTTTGGATTTCTCTTTCATGCAAGGGATCATGGGAAACACAATTCAGTATTAGACACTACTCGAACTAAGATGGTAGACACTGTTTATTAATCATAGAATTGAACTGGTCTGTATGCCTCAGATGTTGTAATTTAAGAAAAAACAGCGTGTGAGAGAAAGATGCAATGAGACAGGGTTCAAGCAGAGGGTTTTTTTTATTAGGGAAAGAGATCATAAAAAGGGGAAAGGAGAGGGGGGAGAGGGCCTTCAGAGTCAAGAGCAGCAAGAGAGAGGAGAAAGGAAATGGGGGGGGAGGGAGAAGAAGGGAAAATGAAGAGGTGGGAGGGAGCGGGGGGGGGGGGGGGGGGGGGGGGGGGGGGGGGGGGGCCGTTTTAAAAG